GTGGTGTGTGTTGGGTGGACTTGTCATCAGTGTGTTGCTGTTTGACGTTGCATCAGTGGATGTGTGTGGAGCTGTCATCAGTGGTGTGTTGTGTGACGTGTCATCAGTGGTGGGGGTTTGTGTGACGCTGTCTCAGTGGGGTTTTGTTGTGTGACGTTGTCATCAGTGATGTGTGCTGTGTGACGTTGTAAATCAGTGGTATGTGCTGGGGTGACGCTGTCATCAGGGGTTTGGTGCTGTGTGACGCTGTCATCAGTGGTGTTGTGCTTGTGTGACCTGTCATCAGTGGTGTGTGTTGTGTGACCTGTCACAGTGGTGTGTTGTGTGCGCTGCCACAGTGGTGTGTGTTGGTGACGCTGTCATCATGGTGTGTGTTGTGTGACGCTGTCATCAGTGGTGTGGTGTTGTGTACGCTGTCATCAGTGGTGTGTGTTGTGTGACGCTGTCACAGTGGTGTGTGTTGTGTGACGCTGCCCTCAGTGGTGTGTGCTGTGTGACGCGTCATCAGTGGTTGTGTGCTGTGTGACGTTGTCATCAGGGTATGTGCTATGTGAGGGCTGTCATCAGTGGTATGTGCTGTGTGACGCTGTCATCAGTGGGTGTGTGTTGTGTGACGCTGTCATCAGTGGTGTGTGCTGTGTGACGTTGTCATCAGTGGTATGTGCTGTGTGACGCTGTCATCAAGGTGTGTGTTGTGACGCTGTCATCAGTGTATGTGCTGTGTGACGCTGTCATCAGTGGTGTGTGTGCTGTGTGACGCTGTCATCAGTGGTGTGTGCTGTGTGACGTTGTCTTCAGTGTATGTGCTGTGTGACGCTGTCATCAGTGGTATGTGCTGTGTGATGTTGTCATCATTGGTATGTGCCCTGTGACGCTGTCATCAAGAGGTGTGTGTTTGTGTGACGCTGTCATCAGTGGTATGTGCTGTGTGACGCTGTCATCAAAGGTGTGTTGTGTGACGCCGTCATCAGATGTGTGCTGTGTGACGCTGTCATCAGTGGTATGTGCTGTATGACGTTGTCATCAGTGGTATGTGTGAGATGTACCGTTGGTAGCATCACTTGCTAACTGTGCTCTATTGAACTGGACAGAGAGACATCTAGACGGCGTTTCGATCAATCCTGAACCATTACGAAGACTCGATAATGGTCCAGGAAACTCTGAAACATTGTTTGAGGTTCTCTCCAAGATGTAGGTCATCAGCAAGTAACTGCTGCCAAGATGCTGTGTGTTGTAGTCTTCAACTCAACAAGGGGTAACTTTACGTGATCTGGCAGCTCAGCATGTATACATATCGTTGTGCATATGTTACCACGAATGTCTTATCTAACTTAGGTTCCCAGAAGCTCCTGACGTTGGGAAGTTGCTGGTGCTTGCTGCCTTCACCACATCTCAAGCACCTCTTCTCCTTTCTTGGAATTATCTATCACCAAGCGATTTTTAAACGATTTTTTTCTCGATTAATGTGTACATTATCATGGGTACCTGCTGGACAGTTCCCCAGACCAGGGATATCTGATACACAGGGCAACTACTGTGTTATAATTGATAAAGAAATTAAAGCAGCAATTGCACAGGGTACCTTCAAAATATAGTTTGCAGACACAATTTATATGAAGATAGTACGGAACAAGCCACACTTGAATGGAAATCTTTAGCTGTAGATCTTTCAAAGTCTCGTGCGTCGTCAGGAGCTATGAAGTGTTGCAAGACAGTAACAAATAGGATGGGAAAATTCTCTGAGGCAAGCAGAAAGGTATCACTGCATCCTGACAGTAATACAGTCGGGTTTATAGACAAAGTAAATTAGGCAGATTTTAAAGAGCACTGCAGTAGGCCTACTGTCCCACTCTGGGTAAATCTTGAGTCACATTAACCATGGGATAAAACCTGGTAACTGATACAGACGAATGATTTAGAAACACTTGTAAGTAAACACTAGGTCATGCTCTCATAAACTCTCAATCATCACCTACCTTGCAGACCATGATCGCGGGCTACAGAACAGTTGGATTAGATCGACATCTTCCAGATCCTCACACGGGTCATCTAGGATTAATACCTGTGTCAGGGCGCTGTTCCGACTATTAATTGATTCGTCGATGGCCAAAACACCGTGGGTTCGAGTCCTTTGCTAGTCACATTGTTATTGATCAATAATATAAAATACTGCGTGTTGAGACTAGTACACCAAAGTAGCACAGAGGTACCCACACCACCATATGTCGTTCGGATCACGGTAAAACACCTAGCTCTGCTGGGTGCGTGATTCTTGTATGATTTGATGGACCTGTGGGTAAAGTGTCATGTCGTTGTCGCTCACCATGAGGGGGTCAATACAACATACATGGGTTCAAAGCCCTTGGCTAGTTGCAGTGTTGTTTAGTTATATATTTTTAAAATATATATATATATATAATAATATATTTTATATATATATATATATATTATATATATATAAAATATAATAATTATATATATATATATATATATTACAGCCGATAGCACTAACATCCCATATCATAAAAATCTTTGAAAGGTCCTAAAAGCAAGATCGCCACCCATCTAGATACCCACCCAATACACAACCCGGGGCAACATGGGTTTAGAACAGGTCGCTCCTGTCTGTCTCAACTACTAGATCACTACGACATTGTCCTAGATGCACTAGAAACAAAAAATGCAGATGTAATTATACAGACTTTTGCAAAACCCTTCGACAAGTGTGACCAGGCGTAATAGCGCAAAAAATGCGTGCTAAAGGAAAACAGGAAAAGTTGGTAGATGGATTTATAATTTCCTCACAAACAAACACAAAGAGTAGTAGTAAACAGAGTCAAGTCTGAAGCGGCTACGGTGAAAAGCTCTGTTCCACAAGGCACAGTACTCTCTCCCATCTTGTTTCTCATCCTCAAAATCTAACATAGACAAGGATGTAACCCACAGCACCGTTTTCCCCTTTTGCAGATGACACCCGAATCTGCATGACAGTGTCTTCCATTGCAGACACTGCAAGGCTCCGGGCGGACATCAACCAAATCTTTCTTTGGGCTGCAGAAAACAATATGAAGTTAAAACGATGAGAAATTTCAATTACCCCGATATGGTAAACACGAGGAAATTAAAACTCATCAGAGTAACAAAACAAATTCCAGCCAAAAAGAGCGAAAACCAACGTCAAAGACCTGGAGTGATCATGTGGGAGGATCTCACCTTCAAGGACCATAACATTTTTATCAATCGCATCTGCAAAGAAAAAAGGGACAGGATGGATAATGAGAACCTTCAAACTAGGGAGGCCAACCCCATGATGACACTCTTCAGGTCGCTGTTCTATTAGGCTGGAATATTGCTGCACACTAACGCACCTTTAAAGGGCAGGTGAAATTGCTGACCTAGAAAATGTACAGAGAACCTTCAG